TCTCTCTCTCTCTCTCTCTCTCTCTCTCTCTCTCTCTCTCTCATTCTCTCTCATTCTCTCTGTTCTCCTATGTCGACGAACGAAAAAAAAAACGCGGTAGAACGGAAAGAAAAGCTTATTGCTTGGCCTACGCGATGGCCAACGAGAATTCATTCGGACAAGGGCTTCCGGAAATACGATTCGGAGTTGCTATATACCGTTTTCCCCTCTTATAAATCTTTACAAGATTTTCTTTATATTTCTTCTTACTCTTATTCTTCTGGCGGGCTTCAAATTTCAAAAGTGATGGGTAGAGATCCTTTCATTTCTCGCACTCACTCGCCATTCACTCAAGATCACTAATCACCGGGGCGCGTTCAAGTCCTTTTCTTCTTTTATTTTCCATATTTTTCCTTCCGCTCATCTCCATCTTCGAAGTAGAAAATTTCGCTTCGATATTAGTGATTCATGAATTTATCAAGGGACTTTGTTTGTTTTCTTCCTTTTTTTTTTTTTTTTTTTTTTAGATAGATCGATTTCATCGAGACGTGGGCGCGCCCAGGTTTTTATGACTATTCATAAGCTATACACGAAGAAGAAACTGGGAGATGATAGCTTCGAGTATTTAACGACTACGAGCAAAGGATAACCTACGAATTTATTTATATACCCTAGCCTCGCCGCTTGAAAACTTGCACTTGTTTTCCTCTTTCTGCAAGAGGATTACGATTTTATCGAAGTTTACACGCGCGCGATCTAGGGAGCGAGTAATTCCTATTCCGTTGAATCTCTACGATCGAAACAACGAATTAGCAGTGATTATAGTTTTTAATTGCGTGTATATATATATATGTGTATATATATATTTTGCATTACGCATGCGCTTCAAAGGGAAATCGATTGATCGATACGTCGTCACGATTGCTTCCTCCCTCGAAAGTTTTTTTTCGAAGAGGAATCGTTTTCAAGATCATTCAAAATTTTCCAAATTTTTGGCACACGATTCGTTCGATTTAAAATGAAGGGAAAACGACACGAACGTCGTCAAGATTCGAGTCGAAATGAAGCAGGCAGAGAAATTGTATAGTGTGCACAACGTCTTGAAACTCTCGAGGAAGAAATTTTCGCGCGACGCACGAACGCGCGCTTCCTTATGGATTTCGCGTAATACAACCGATACAGAAATATTCCCGTCAACGAGACAGCGAGCTTACCCTGACAGACAAACGCACTACCGAGTCCGATAGAAGAATTTCATATTAAGCCTTAAACCTTAAGAATGGTGTATCGCTTTCGAATACCACGTAGCCAATCATGGATGATCGTATGGAAGGCGTGTCTTTCTCTCGAATCATTTTCTCTTAAAAATTCTGAAAAATTCAAAAATTGCTTTTGCAAACAATAATATCATTTTGGCGATACGATTTCAATTTCAATTGAATCGTTTTCAATGACAGAACGAAGAAAAAAAAAAGAAAGAAAGAAAAGATCGAAGAAAAAAACTTAAAAAATTAGGATGTATATAAAAGAGGATGCATATTCCTAAATTTTTAGAAAATCGTTCGACAGAATCACACGCTTCGCGAAAAAAAATTTTCAAATTTTTTTTTTTTTTTGTTTTTAATCACTACGAACGAGCCTTCTAGACCTTGATTTCCGATGGGGCGGCCATTTTACGGGTCTCACATCTCTCCTCCCCTTCCCTCCCCTCTATTTTCTTCAGTTCCCTACCCCGACAATTCTTCGTTCTCCGCGTACCATTTTTTTTTTTTTTAATCACTACGAACGAGTCTTCTAGACGTTGATTTCCGATGGAGCGGCAATTTTACGAGTCTCACATCTCTCTTCTCCTTCCCTCCTCTCTATTTTCTTCATTTCCATACCTCGACAATTCTTCGTTCTCCGCGTACCATTTTTTTTTTTTTTTAATTTCCTTTTTCCTCCTCCCTGTTCTCCTTGCTTTAAAAAAAGCAACCCTCTGTCTGTTGTCCCGTTTGGTCCGCACTACCAGCATTGATTATTTTCTTGCTTTCGCAATGCACAAGAACGCTTGTGTTTTTTTTATTATGATTCCTTATTACTCTTTTTTAAACATTTTTTTATCTCCTTCGCCATCATTTTTCTCACTTTTCTCTCTTTCTCTCTCTTTTTCTCTCCTGATCTCGGATCCATCTTCTTATCTTTTTCCGTCATGCCCTCCGATCGGTCTCCTCCTCCTCTTCCTCCTCCTCCTCCTCCTCCTCCTTCTTCTTCTTCTTCTTCTTCTTCTTCTTCTTCTTCTTCTTCTTCTTCTTCTTCTTCTTCTTCTTCTTCCCACCTCCGCATACTTTACAATCGACATTAATTAACGAATTAATTAGTACAAGCTAAACACGCGTTAGAAGAACTATATAACTAGAAGAAAACACGGGCTTCGCGAATGGTACTCGTTTTCCACGGAATTCGACTTCTTCTCTTTCTCTTTCTCCGCCATGCAATGATGCTGCGCATCATTGATCCTTCTTCTCTCCTGTATCCTTTGATTCTTCGAAACTTTAATTCGGCGAGTTATTTTATTTCCAATTCGAGGAACGCCGGTGTGTCGAGCTCTCTTTAAGCCTCGAGAAAAGGTGTATTTCGATTCGTTTCCGATAAACGAATAGATCGAATTCGAAAAACTTGGAACATAGATGGAAACGGTTAGAGCAGAGAGACGAACACCTTCGATTTTCCTCGAAAGATCTCGAATTGATTCAATCTCATCCCCTTTCTTTCTCTCGGTGGCGCGATTCTTCTTTTCTCTTCGTAAAGATCTTCGTTCTTTTTTCTCGACAAGTTTTCTCAATCTCTTTTCTCTCCCTTTCTCTCTCTCTCTTTTTTCGTTCGTAAAAAATGTTTTTTTTTCCTTTCTCTCTCTTCTTCTTTTTGGCAGCTTTACCAATTACATTACGCGACGCGGTTATACACGCTTAAATAACTAAACTTAATACGAGCTAAATTTCTAGCGCGATTTTTTTTTTTTTTTTTTAAACGTACGACCCTTTTTGCCCGATCTCGTTTCCTGATCGCCTCGGCGATCGCTTAAAAAAATAGGGTACAAAAATTATTCATCTAAATTTGGAAAGCCTTATCCGAATACTACGCGAATTTATCTTTTTTTTTTTTTCGTTTTTCTTCTTCTTTTTTTTTCAGCTTTTCTCTCAAAATTTCCTTTCATAATTTTCCCCCCCGCTTAATAAAACACAGCCGAATAAAAATGCCCCGATTTTCGAATTACGTTCTAATCAAATCGTTTACAAAAATCACCCGCGAATATCATCATTTCTTGTCCGATTCGACGTTTTTGTTTTTTAAAAAACACGTATAAAAAAGACTACCCTAACGTGACACTTAGAGCACGACAATTATTACAATTTTTTCTTTCTTTCTTTCTCTCTCTCTCTCTCTAGTAGATATAAAAAAAGGAGATTGCTTATCGTTTTCTCGCGAAAGACTGTCCCTTTCGCCTTTTTTTTCTTTCTTTTTATTTTTTTTTTTCTTTTTTATCCATCGCTTATTTTTATTCGACGATTCTTCTTCCTCAATGACAAAAAAAACGCCGAGTTTATCGTATGAAACGAGCTCGCCCTTCGGATCCACGCGGGCAATCCGCTTGCGCGTAATAATAACGAAACGCGAAAAAACGAAAAAACGAAGAAAAAGAAAAAAGAAACACGTCGCTGAAATTGGTGTCGATTTCACGCTGATATATCTCCTCTTCATCCTCTTCCTCTTAGAACCGAGTATAAAATATTAGTGTCGCAGTCTTAACGACGCAAGATGTCGTGACGTATACGTTATAACGTTGGAAAAATCGTATTTACCAATATGTGCGCACAAAGTTTTATCATCATATGTGCGCGTCACCTTAAAAAAAATTTCCTCTCGTGTCCTCTCTCCCTCGAAATTCTCTCACTCGATTGTTCGACGTCCCTCTCGACATTTTCGAATTCTCGATTCTAATTTATTGCGACTCTAAACCTACGATTAATTGGAAAAATTGCATGGGATTGTCTACGAGGACAGCAATCGATTAGAGCAATTTGGAAATGGACACGAGGGAATTTTTAAGAATCTCTTTCTCTCTCTCTCTCTCTCTCTCTCTCCTCTCTCTCTTTACGTTCATTTAGAAGAATCGTGAACTCTGCCGAGAAGAGTTTTACACCTAAAGAATTTTACACGGCAGAAGACGAAAAATATTACTAAGAAAAGGGAACGGGGTAGCGATACACACGATTACACGGTATGTATAATATATATATATATATACGTAACGGTTATATGGTATACATACACACACAAGAATATAACGCGATTAAATGTTACGTAGGGGAGGGAGTAGGTGATTATAGCACATCCACACGCCATTCAGACACATTGGTTTATACCCCTTGAGGAAATTGCCTGTAAACGGGTTCCGATACTCTTCGGGGGCGGCCTACCGACTAACGATTAATTACAACACTCCGCTGTGAAAGCTTAATTACGATCGTTGCACAAGCGTCCATCCATTTTATCTTTCCTTCATCCAAATTTCTCTTCCATCTCTTTCTTGCCAGTGAACTCCTTTGCAGCTCAGCCATCCTTCTATCGAGTGTCCATCTATCGATTCTTTTCCAAAAAAAATGGAGAAAATTCTCGCGTAGCAATCATTCAATTTTTCAAACGAGAATAGGAA